GGGAACGCGGGGGGGGGGGTGAAATCCCTTTCACCCACTGACATCCATAGGTGTTCCACTTCTTCGAATTGCAACTCTTGAATGTTATGATTTTTTTTTTTATGTGGATCATTTATAATGAATATATTCCTTGCTGTTCACATCAGAGCATTGCTCTTGGATCTGTGTGTCTGAAAGGGTCCTCGTCGTCGGATTCTGACGTTGGCACATCGCTGGAAGGGGTGTGTAGATTGTTTGGTCCAGCACTCCCTTGGCACACGTACCATTCGTTTAGGTTGGTCACCTGAGGCGAAAGGTTCGACGAGCGGTTCCTGTGGGGCTCCAGGTTTGGTGAGAGGGCATCACCGATCGTCGTGGACGAGGAATGGTAAGAGGAGCCCGTGGTGGCGGAAGGGGGCGGAGGAGACTTGCAGTGAACCTTCATGTGTTTGCGCAGGGAGCTTGGGTGTGTGTACGACTTGTCACAACCCCTCACTTTACAGAAGTAAGGCTTATCACTCGTGTGGACGTGAGAGTGCTTCTTCCTGTCACTGCTGTTGGCGAATTTCCTGTCACAGCCATCAAACTCACATTTGAACGGCTTCTCACCTGGCAAAGAAGAAAAAATAGAGCATTTAGATATAGACATCAGCCATACATCTTTTACATTTTCTTGGTTACAAGAAAATAATAGCTAATGGATAATCCATTCTCAGCAAGCACTAGTCATGGATGGTTTTGGTTTGAAAATCCCAACATTATCACTGTAATCCCACAGTACTTATTTTCTGCTATTACATATGGAATGTTCAGGCGCACCACATGACTTATACAACCACTCTGTAAATGCTCTCATTTTCTCTGACTTAAGCTTGCCAAAACTCTTTTTTTATGATTATTATTTTTACTGGGTAAGCAAATGAGCCGACTACTGAAAACATTTCGGCCAGCCATATGTATCAGATTGCCTGGAGTAAAAGAACTGACCCGGCTTTACAAGATATCCAAATCATGTCAAAAATACATTACACGTTGCATTGATTCACGGTGTCATTCCGGGACTTCTTACAAAAAAAAAAACATAAGTGACTTCTACACATATTCATTGATGATTTAAAATAGCACCATGTTACGACCATTATAAATGTAGGTGGGTTTGACACGCTAGCCTACATTTTCAGGGCGCAATTTACATCAGCACATGTTGTAAGCATAACACGATACCATTATACAGTAAAATAACCTAAACAATACCTGCAAATTCTTAACAACCTGCAATAACAAATTGTCATGTGAGTACATTTTTAGTAACTGGAGGAAGAGCTTTATAGCCTATCTATTAAATACCATAATATTAAATATCTAGTTTAATATCATGCACAGCACACACGCATAACATTTTGTTAGAATAGGCTAAGCAGAGGCCTTCTTTGCTGTGCAAAGATACCAACATAGTTTAGTTAATCAAAATGTAGTAAATGCCCCAAGGGTGAACCATTCTCCTTATTTACATTAGTATGGATCTATTCACACGCTGTTTGTAATTCCATGTGGCTTTAAATGTGACAAACACGTGCCGAAAACTTCATGTTACTATTTTACCTGCAGCCTACTTAAACAATACCTACTTTCCCTGTTTTGTTCGTTAATATTTGCACACGTAGCATTGAAATGCAACTGCAGCATGGTGTCTTCACCCCAACGTTTTTGCATGTCTCCTTGATATAAAACTGCATGCATCAAAGAAAAAAAAAGACGTAAAAACTGCTCATAGCAGCGTGTGTCTTGAGTGCTTTTTTCATGTAGGCTTACTTAACAAGTATCAAGTACGTTGATATCTCATTGCATTTTCAAAGTAAGTTCATGACGCTTAGCAACACCAAGGGATAGTTTTGCTTGGCGAATAGGGACTGTAAACAAACCTCCTTAACCTTGGTTCTGTATGAATGGGGGATATTTGTGCATGAGTCGGGGGGACAAAAAAGTGATTCTGCTCCCCCATAGTAACTAACGTTGCTACATATCAAGAAAAATCGACTATCTGCCAAGTAGTGCAAACAAGTTCAATAACAGACACCTATGAAGTTTTTTTTTTTTTTTAAGAATTTGTTGACTTCTCACTAACCTGTGTGCGTCCTTTTGTGAATCTTGAGATTTTCCGAACGCGCGAATACTTTGCCACAACCGGGAAAGGGGCACGGGAACGGCTTCTCGCCCGTGTGCACGCGGATGTGATTGATTAGTTTGTACTTGGCTTTAAACGCCTTTCCCTCGCGCGGACACTCTTCCCAGAAGCAGACGTGACTGCTCTGCTCCGGTCCCCCGACGTGCTCCACTGTGACATGGTTGACGAGCTCGTGCATGGTGCTGAAAGTTTTGGAGCAGGGCTTCTTGGACGTCTGCTCCTGGTCAATCCACTTGCAGATGAGCTCTTGCTTGATGGGCTGCCGCATGTATCGCAAAAACGCCCCCGTGGCTCCGTGAGGAGCCGTGGCGAGGTTCACATTTAAGTTCATGGAGTTGTAGCTGTGCAGAGAAGAAGATCCATAGTGCTCGGGCCTGTGGCCGAAGTGCTCTGGCCTGCCGTAGATGTCCCCCGGTAGACCCAGACGCATCTGCCCGTTGATGGCATGGTGGTGGTGGTGGGCACCTGGGGCCGCTTGCTCGTGCAGTCCAGAGAAAAGTGGATGGGCACCACCTTCCGCGTGCCCATAAGCACCTGTTGGGGAAATGAACATGCCATGGTGATGAGGGGAGGAGGCGGAACTATGCTGGTCGCCAAGTGCATGCATAGCAGAGGCTGAGAGCTCTCTCCTGAGGATGAAGTCCCTGCTGGTGGTGTAGCCTGTGTGGGGGTGAGCCACGGGGAAACCAACTGTGGTCTGAGAAGACGTGAAAGATGCCGCGGTCTGGGCTTCGGGATGGCTTTGTACAGGCTGAGAGGGACTAAGTTTGAGAGCATTGGTCTGTGCCATGTGCTCGGGTCCAAATGGAGTGAGAACCACTCCGGGGTCGTTGCCCATCTCCCCAGGGTGGAGGTGGGCATGGTGGGAGTGCGGGTGATGCCCCCCAATCCCCGGGAAGCCTGTCATATTCTGATGAGGAAGGGCTTGAGTCGATGCCAAATGCGCTAATCTTATCGCCGAATTCCTCTTGCTTAAAGGGGGCTCCATCACTACGCTGTCATGTCCACGCTCACCGCTATTGTTTTCGCCAACTACGGGCCTTCTGAAACCATTAAAATATATGTATATGGCCGTCTATAGAACTTCTTTTGTCCTGCCTCTAACTCTGCTTGCTCCTTTTCCCACTCTGTCCTCAAGCGATTGGCAGAACATACAACAGTTGGAGGACACAGTGGGGAATAGAGTTTAGAAATGGCACTGCGGGTATTGGACAGATTTCGGTGACTGGCAGTTAAGAGAACGAAGCGATTGGCTGTCTTTCAGCGCAGAGGCTCAGCGGGGTTCCGCCCCCTCACTCTCTTCATCACGGTTCACTCCAGAAAGTTGTGCTCACAAAGTTACAGGCAAATCTGTTTACCGAAACACACACGCATGCACACACACACACACACACACACACGTGGAAGGTTGTTTTTTTCTCTTTGCACAAAACAGTGACACTACACACGCGGAGCATATTGTGCAACACCCCCACACACCGTTTGAACTATATTTATAAATTAAATTAAATTAAAATAAAATAAAATAAATAAAACGCTGTCAAGAATTAATCAAGCAAAAAACTAATTAATTTTCTTTCGTCAAATAAATCGTTTTATTATGTTGACATATGTACAGACTAAGGATAAAATGGGGATAATGGAAATAAAATAATAATAAAAAAACATACAAACACAAACACACGCATGCTATACAAAACTTACTTGCTTCTAATTGTTGCAATGCATGTAGGTAAAACTAAATTATTATATACATAAAACATTCTTACCTGTGATTTTTATTCAACCAAACAAACGATTGTTTTACGCCCTAATAAACAGAAATGCAGAGGCTACGTTCGTGGAATTATTTCTAGTAACCTGCTTTGTCTAGATGATTTCCTCGTAATATAATTTTATATAATCAACATTATCATGCAATTTTAAAAAATTAATAAAGGACATTCAAATGCAACAAATGTATTTTAATAGGTTATCTAAAACGCAGTTTTAAACATTACAGATCTTCTGTCCACTGGGCGATGTCAATCTCTCTCTCTCTCTCTCTCTCTCTCTCTCTCTCTCTTAAGAATGATATCTAAGAAACTTATTACTCTTCACATAATTTCATCTCATGTTTGTTTGTGTGTCCTGTACGTGTGTGTCATGATGCACGTCCACGCCCTTTTCCATGTTGAACTCAGCAGAAAGTGTACATATGCCACTGCTTTAATATGTCTTAATTCAAATACATGCTTCAGGGCAGTTGTTACCATATTCCATATAATTATTTCAAAAACTAATTACCAGGGTACATCAGAAGGTTAAAGAGGCCCACCCTTAAGACTTAACAATAAACAAAATTCTGCTTACAAAATTGAAGTAACATGAAAAAGGCATTCATGAGATTTTGTTATTTTTATAAAGCACGTGTATCTCTTCTCGCGTATAAGCTGCACCTGTAGTAACTAAAAGTGTTGTGATTTCCTGCATAAGCTATCATGTCTGTCAGCTTTGTCAAGGGTCTTAATTTAGAATGAATTGAACCACAATGTATGCCGGTTAATGTGACGGAAGCATTACAATCTATGCATTCTAATTGAGATTTACGACATCCTAATGTTTACCTCTGAATTGTGATGGACGAACAGACCGTATTAAAGAGTGTCTTTAAAATAATTCAGTCGTATTGATTGCTGAATACGCTACACTTACAATAAAAGTTAATGACGGGAATGTCATAAATAATAAATGTTTAAAACAAGCTTGTAAGTGAATGTGAATTTTCTTCGTCTGTTATTTGTGAAACGACGTAACGGAGGGAGAAGGCCAGCATTTTGTCTTATTACAGCCTTTGAACAGAGAGGATTTCTTAATTCAAAGGGTAGCATATGTGGTGTCCACGGGTCGAAGGTCAAACACCCTTGAAATCACTCAAAGTAACCAATAATGCGTCACCATATTGATAATGTCAAAGTTAAAATAAATGCCTTGTTGCTTTAAGAGCCTTACACATTAATGGAAAGCCACAATTAATGTAACCATATAGGGGTATGATCATGTATTGTAATTTAAAGGTTAGTTTGGATTTTCTGCTTTCACATATAGAGAAAAAAAAAACAAGGTTAATATCTAGGCAGTGACGCATATATTTGTTTAATAATAAGCCAAAGGTGTTTTCACCTGTGTGTTCGGTTTTAGCTTTTTCGAACTTTTTCCCTTCCTTGCTACACCAGAAAAGAAGAACAAAAACTGCGGCTATGTGTTCCAGGCCAACTGCACTCTCAGTCTAATTTCTCTTTCTTCTTCTCCCTGCCCACTGAAAAGAAGAAAGGTTTTTGAGGTTTTCTGGAGAAATAAAGAACTTCTTAGAGAGGTCGGCAGACGTGACTTTGAACTTGGATCGGATCCTGTGTTTCCTGTGGAGAGGGTAGAAATAGTCTTGGAAGAATGGCACATAACGTTCAAACAGCATGGCTTTGAGCTGAGGCACACAGAATTCCCAAAGTTTTATACATCCTCCGCCCTATTATTTACAGCTTAAAGCGTTCGGAGGAGAGGAAAGACAAGACAAAGTGTGTTGTGCGTAGGAACGGGACTTTATCGGACTTAGGTTCAATGAAATTGTAAGTAAACCTCCTTTAACTGAATGGTAACATTTAAATAAACGCTGGAATGCTACACGTAGGACTTTTTTTAGATCAAATCAGAAATGGTCCCTGAGTGGCTTATGTAGGCCTACATTGGCCTGGAATCCGTAATGCAGTAACCTCGTCCATATGTGTTAGGATAACCTCAGTCGGACCGTTTCGTTCTTGTCAGGGAGTGTAGCTACAGTTTACATAGGAAAAGCTCGCATAAATGCCTGTTCCGTAACCACAAAATACCGCTAAACTTGATTTTAAATAATGCAGATTGCCTGATTTATTCAGGTAGAAAGACCAGGCTCTCAGTCCATGACGTCACTGTTTTTTGTTTTTTAAATTAAAGGTATATCATATTGTGTGTTTTTTTTTTTTTTGACATGGGAATGTAATCACACTTAAATACATTCAAATTACATTTTGATTTGCTAAAATATTCAGAATACTCTGTGTGCGCATAGGCCTATAAGTCATAGTGATAGGAAAAATGTAGATAGTAGCCTACAAAGCTTACAATAATTCTCAAATTTATACTGTTGTCGTATTTACTGTGTTTCAAACCTTATGTGGAGTTTATGGTTCTGACGTAGATTAAATAAAATTGGTACATTGTGTTTCAGAGTAACAGCGTTTTGGTGTTAGCTACGAATTAGTGCGTTTTTTTAATGCAATAAAATAATTAAAGTATACAAATGTAAATATGATGTTGATGGCAATGGCGATGGAGTAGCCTATATATTACAGCCAACTCTCCTGCCTCTATCTATCTATTTTTAGTACTTTATATCTCAAAAGGCTAATATATTTATATGTGAATACACGTTTGTTTGTTTTTTTATGTTCATCAACCCTCAGGGAGACAAGATCACGTCCTTTATTCAAATGCTGATGACCACATAGACTGCAAACTGGATGCGAATTATTGTGTTGTCATATGTGCAGGTTGAGTCAAGGCACCTCGAACGAGGTTTGTGAGTTTGTTTTTCATTCACCTTAACCCTGTCTGTTTGTTAAAGCACAGTATGCGAAAGTAACTAATTCGATTTCGCTATAATCTAAATGTCCTAAACATTTTAAACCATTAAGTAATTATGCAATATATAGTGGCGTTTTTCCACCAAAGAGGTATGGGTTCCACTTACTCTTATGAGCCCGCGTGGCAACTGATTTATTTTTTTAAGCGGTCTGATTAAACGCGAGTATTTTTGGTCTCCTTCTACCTATTCCCCGAAAAGGCTCTCCGAAAAGTAGGCGGTAATTGTCGGTGGAAGATGGCGATCAGCGATTAGTTGCCAAAGGAGTGCGTTCGATTGGAGGGGCACCTGGGATTGATAAGGAGCGGCGGCCAATGAGAGCGCGTCAAATGAATGACCGGGCTCCAGTTAAAGGGGGCGTAAGAGGAGGTAGTGTCAGTCCACTGAGAAAGAGGGACCCTCCGAGATAAACATAGACAAGCGAAAGAAATAAACACTCCAATTCGAGATGCTTCAAGAACAAGGAAGACTCAGTAACATAATACCTCGTATTTTCATGTAGTCCGAAAATAACGACATCGACTCAGTTTAAAAGGAACAGCGCAAAGGAATCTTTTCATTTCGCTGCATTGGGGAATTTGAGTAACAAGTTATCCACAAGAAAAATATAGTCTAACTTAATACGCAAAGCTTTTTTCCGATGAGCGGATCGAACTTCATCGCCTCATGTCGTGTTCTCAAATCTGGAAGTTAATATTCCCGTAGCGCATTCGATTTTATTTTGTTAAATGTTTTGTTGAAGCGCCGTGCATAGACTGCTTAAAAGAGAATTGGTTTTGCTCAACGAAAACATGTTACTGGACGCTGGGCATCAGTTCCCTGGTTTGGGAGTGGGCACCTTTGCCAGGCATCATCACTCCTCCAGTGAGATGCAGGACAGAGACTTGAGTTTAGCGCAGAACAGCTTCGTCGACTCGGCGCACATGGGCACCTTCAAACTGAACCACGATCTCTCGCCCGGACAGAGTTCTGCATTCACGAGCCAAGCGCCCGGTTATCCCGCCTCGGCTCTGGGCGCGCACGCGGCTCATGTCACATCATACGCGAGCTCGCCGTTTAACTCCACGCGGGACTTTCTCTTTCGCAGCCGTGGATTCGGGGAATCGTCACCGGCGGGAGGCCAGCACGCACTCTTCGGCCCCACTGGCGGCTCGCTCCATCACTCTCACACAGACAGCCAAGGCCACATTCTGTTCCCTGGCATCCACGAGCAGCATGGATCTCACGGCTCCCCAAATGTGCTCAATGGACAGATGCGACTCGGACTACCGGGGGAGGTTTTCGGGCGATCAGACCAGTACCATCAGGTCTCCAGCCCTAGGACCGACCCTTACTCAGCCGCTCAGCTGCATAACCAGTACGGCTCCATGAATATGAACATGGGGATGAATATGGCAGCGCATCACCATCACCCCGGTGCCTTCTTTCGCTACATGAGGCAGCAGTGTATTAAGCAAGAGCTCATCTGTAAGTGGATCGATCCGGAGCAGCTCAGCAATCCGAAGAAGAGTTGCAATAAAACTTTCAGCACCATGCATGAGCTGGTCACCCACGTCTCGGTCGAGCACGTTGGAGGACCCGAAC